ATAAAAAAGTTCCAATCTTCATTTTCACCTAGCAACTTCCACACGAGACTCATACTTCATGACCATCAAAGCATGTTTTTTACCAGCAAGGTGAGAGGCTAACACCTCATCACCAATGCAAATCACATTACACAAACTGCATTCACTAAGGGCCTCAGCAGCTGCTCCTTCTCCCAAAACCCTTCTTCTCTTAGTCTCCAAGTCATCAATATGAGACCTGACCGCCTTTTTACGTGCTTTCTGAGAATTGGAGAGTTTAGGCTTCTCCGGATTCTCTTGAGGCCCGATTATCGGTCGATTTGTTGGATTTGGGTTCAAATCGGGCCCAACCTGTGGTGTATCCATTGGAGCTGAGGTGTCAACGGGCAAGGGTGGAGGATGAATAACCGGGTTAGGAGTAGGTAGGGGTAAAACAGGAAATTTTTCTTTCAACTTCTCGAGGTTCTTTTTGTGCTTCTTCCCCAATCTGTGTTCCTTGAGGGCATCGTTTGAGGTACAATCGATCTTGCAGACCTCACACCTTACAGATTGCACAATTTGATTCTTCTTGGCCGTTGAGCCTTTTTTCTTCCCTTTGGATTGAGCTTTTGGTTTTGGATTGGTAGGTAAACCCTAAGACACAAAGGAAACAAAATACTTCTAGGTTATATTGAAAAATACAACAAGAAAATGAGTTTGAAAATGAATCCCACAAATTGGCTTAACGATTTAAGAAAGTACATTAGAACAAGCATAATTCCTAGTCATGGTTAACTAATGACGAGGATTAATTATGCTATCCCATTACACATTTTGTCCTAATGTTCATCTCTCATGAAACAGAACTTTGCAAGACACACATGTTTCTCTTCAAAGGATACAGCAAAACAAAAAAACAAAAAACAAAAAAAAAAAAACAAAAAAAAAAAAAAGCATACCCTTGATGCAAGTATTATAAATATTATTTCTAATTGTTATTTCTGTTCTATATGGGTCTTCATTCTATATTATTACCAAGGATCAAGGCACTAAAAATTCGAGTCATTTGTAATAAAATTGTGGTACCGACAGAAATCCCCAAATCTATAATGTATCAAAAGGCCATCTTTCATTCTGTTGTTAATCACATTCATGCACAACGCGCAGTTAATACCAAATGTCGAAATACAGTATACATCTTCAAAGGATACAGCAAAAATAAAAAACATATATAACCTTAGTGCAAGTATTTGAAACATTATCCCTTGTTATTTCTGTTCTATATGGATCTTCATTCTATATTATTACCAAGCATCAAGGCATTAAAAATCGTGTCTTTAACCTCGAGTCATCTGTAATAAAATTGTGATATCAACAGAAATCCCCAGATCTATAATGTATCAAAAAACCATCTTTCATTCTGTCGTTAATCACATTCACGCACAACCGCGAGTTAATATCAAATGTCGAAATATAGTATACCAAGAGACTTAAGACGAGTGCAAGCTCAACAAAATCTCATCAGGACTTCGTAAAATCCGACATTTCAAGATCTGACATGTTCATAAACCATATCGACAAGCTCAGAACTTGCGCAATCTCTGAAGGAATTGATTTTGGTCACTCATTAAGCAGAATTCAAGTTACAACTTACAAAACCTAACACAATCACAAAAGAGAACTACTTCATAGGTACAAAGAACACTCTAAACAAGACCCACACCATATACCACCAATCAACCTCAGAGACCAAATTTCACATTCCTCAGCAAAAATAAAACAAATTTTACAGAAAATGATATATATTTTAAAAAGAAAAATACCACAGCAAATGGAGTGGATACAAACGGCGAGATAACAGCTGCCTGGCTTGCGTTAGGGTCCTGAGAATAAGCAGCACCATTTGGGTTCGTAAAACTAGCAGCGCCTTGTTGGGGTTCATACCCGGGTGGTTGCTGCGCGTATTGAACGGCCACCGGCCGCGGCACATACGCCGGAGCAATTCCCGGCGGTGGCTGAGGCTGGCTTGGAAACAAATTGAGGTGAGAATCAACGCCGGCCGGGTGAAAGTAATTGTGCTGCGGCGTCACATACGCCGGATCAATTCCCGGCGGCGGCGGCTGAGGATGGCTTTGAAACAATTTGCTGGGAGGATCAACGCCGGCCGGCTGATAGTAATTGTAATTGAAGTTGTATGTGTAATGGGTCGGATATTCGGCTGTGGACGGATAAGGATTAGGATTAGGGTTAGGGTTAGGGTTAGGGTTAGGGGGCATCTCGCCGGCGTTAAAGCGAAAATCCATGGTGGTGGTGCCAAATTTCGGAGTTACAGTAAATTACTAGGACGATTTATTTATTTATTTTAATAATATTACATTGTGTATGGTGGAAAAGGGAAATGGGGGGTCACGTGAAAATATAATCCGACTGTATTTATAAGTCATGGTAAATAATAAAAAATGGCTGGAATCTAATAAAATAACTCATGCTATTATAAGTCCATTTTCTTCAAATATATCACCTTAAAAATACACTAAATAAAGTTTATGCAATTTGTTTCTAAATGATTTTCCACTGCTGCAAATTTTGCAAAGGTATCTCTGTTCTTGAACTTCAACCATTGCAAGAGAAAGATTTTCTACGACCAAATAAACAAGAAAAGAATAAAAAGAGAAAAGAAGAACCCACCCAGATGAGAAAATTCAATGAAGCTCAGTGATCAGCCTTGCTACGACGAATCTAAACATCACATTGAAAGAAAAACTCGAGAAATTCGAGGGGACAAAGCGATTACTTTTAGAGTCTAATCGGAAAAAATTCCAGCTTTTTTGAATAAAATGAAAAATTAACAAGCTAAATCAAATTCTGAGGGGAGAAAAGAGAAACCCATCTCAAACTCTGAGGAAAAATGCTAGTATATAAAGGCTGTTTTGCAGCAGCAACACAGAGTGGGCCCAAAAGAAAATACAAGCAGAAAAAGGAAGGTACTCTCTCTCTCCCACACACACACACACACATTTGAATCTAGATACAGGCTTAGCCAAATATTGTATTATAAATTTAAAATGGGTAGAAGAGGAAAGACTTGTATGGAAAGCAAAGACATGGCCATGAGAGGACAAGCAATACTTCTGCAGGAGCAAATGAGTTCTGTTTAGTCTGCAAATGTGACAGCGATTTCTTGATTCTCAATTGATCAAGTCAAGATATTGATTTTGGCAATAATATGGGTTTGGTTGTTGCTGACTAGGAATGAGCAAAACTCAATCAAATTTGATAAATCGACCCAAATTGTACAATTCGATGCGCTTTATTTTAGTGTAAGAAATTATTGGTTTTATGGTTCGGTTTCCATGTGTTTTGGTGCGGTTCGGTATTTTTTTATAAAAGTTCGTTTTATTTTATTTTATTTTTTGGTTCGGTGTGGTTCTGCACGAACCAACCCAAATGCTTATAGAAATCGATATGCAAAATTGAACTGTTCAATTCATTACAGTTTTTAAACTTCAGTTTTATGTCAAATCATGCAACTTCGCATTTGCTACACTTTTTATCCTTTCTGTTTCGCTCTTTAATTTTGTATGGACATAAAGTAAGGAAATGGAAACTGAAGTCCTATGCCTATAATGTTTAAGAACAATATAAGTGAAAATATTATTTTTTGTTCTCAAGGAAGTCACCAAAAGTAGTTGTGTCATGTGTGATTCAGGCAATCAGGCTAGGCCCAAACGTGTGTTTTAAACTGTCATTGTCCAAATGTAACATCATTTTTATCAACTAGACAAATAGTATAACTTGATACAACAATTAGAGCCAAGCCAAAGGCTGAGAGTGTATTTTTAACAAAAATTATTAGTCCCATTAAATAATTTAGTCTGCCCATGTTTGAGTTTGGTGAGATCTTAATATGAAACATGAAACATAAAAAGAACAACTGAGAAAAACATACACAACGCAAGAAAAAAACAACAAGACTGGAAACAGAAAGAACCAAATCATCAGGCCCTGAAGATTCAGAATTCGACAAAAACGTAATGTCGACAACACATTGTAAAAAGAAACGTACGAAGAACTTCTACATAACGACATGAATAGAAATTCATCCGACTACAAACGTAAATAAACCAATAATTATGCAGAAAAACCCATCTGAATCCATCAAATGAAACCAAAAAAAGAAAAAAAAAAAAAACAAGTATACCACATCATAAAAATGAAAAATAAACCTTTATTATTTGCTCGCCGGCCGCACAAACCTCACTCAGGCGACAGCTGGCATGTCCTTGAGCCAAGCATCAAGCGGCTTCCCGATCGAGTACACGATAAACCCAATCTCCCTCAGCTTGGCCACATCAACCACATTCCTCCCGTCAAAAACGAAAGCCGGTTTCTGCATATTGTCATATATCTTCTGAAAATCGAGCTCCTTGAACTCATCCCACTCAGTGAGAATGCACACAGCATGCGCATCTTTAGTCGCCTCATACGCATCCCAAACCGTATGAACTTTCTTAACAGTAGACGGGCTCATAGGCTGGAGGTGGAGCGGGTGGTCCCAATCGAACTTGTTCATCGAGAGATCCCTCTGGATTTGATCCTCCGTTACTTGTGGGTCGTAAATGCTTAGCTGGGCTTTATCTCCAAGAAGCCCTTTGCACACGTCAATTGCAGGGGTCTCGCGAGTGTCTCCCGTATCTTTCTTGAAAGCAAAACCCAAAATCGCGACCTTTTTATTAGCAACAGTGTTGAACATAGACGAGACAAGACGGTTCACAAACCGGTTCTTTTGGTAGTCGTTGATCTTGATGACCTGTTTCCAGTACTCAGCCACCTCAGGAAGGCCGTTACACTCGCAAATATAGACAAGATTGAGGATGTCTTTCTGAAAGCAGGACCCACCAAAGCCGACGCTCGCGTTCAAGAACTTCGGCCCGATCCTCGAGTCCTTCCCGACGGCGTACGACACCTGGGTGACATCAGCGCCGGTCGCCTCACAGAGTGCTGACATGGCATTGACGGACGAGATCCTCTGGGCCAAGAAAGCGTTAGCAGCGAGTTTCGAAAGCTCGGCAGACCATAGGTTTGTGGTGAGGATACGATCCTCCGGGACCCAGTGAGCATAGACAGATTTCAAAGCTTGAACTGCTTTGAAGCCTTCGGGAGTTTCACGGCCGCCGATTAAAACCCTGTCAGGGTTGAAGAGGTCTTGAATGGCAGTTCCCTCGGCAAGAAACTCCGGGTTTGAGAGGATTTGGTAGTTAATGCCTTTACTGTTGTGGGTGAGGATTTTCTCGATGGCCTCGGCAGTTTTGACGGGGACAGTTGACTTCTCGACCACAATCTTGTCGGATTTGGACACGTCAGCAATCATGCGGGCCGCGCTTTCCCAATAGGTGAGGTCAGCGGCCTTGCCGGCCCCGAGGCCTCGGGTCTTGGTGGGAGTGTTGACCGAGACAAATACGATGTCAGCTTCAGAGACGTGCTTTTCGACATCTGTGCTGAAGAAGAGATTCTTGCCACGGCACTGCTTGACTACATCGTCGAGGCCTGGCTCGTAGATCGGGAGCTGATCGCTGTTCCAGGCGCTGATGCGGGGGACTGAAATGTCGACAACGGCTACCTCAATTGAAGGGCACTTGAGAGCTATCACGGCCATTGTGGGGCCACCAACGTACCCAGCGCCAATGCAGCAAATCTTCACCATGTTTCTTTCTTTTGTTTTTTACAGTTTTCACTGGGGGAAAAAAAAAGATGAAAATGGAAGTTTTTGAAACTCGTCGAATTATATTTGTGGCAGGATGTAAGGCATGGAAAAGAGGGATCTTGATTTGCAGTCCAGATGAAAGCCTAATAAGGCATATTTTAGCAGCATTTAGGTTACTGTATTACATGAGTTGTGATTTTTTCAGATACTCATGGTACAAGGTCAAATAAGAGAACTTTAAAAGACAGATCAGAAGCAGCTGAAAAGCTGGTTGGAATTTGATATCAACCTGGGAAACTCATTAGTTTCCTGCTCTATAAATTCAGTTAATTCATCATGCAGTTACAAACTTGCAGGTATGAAACTCCCTAGCTCCGAAATACATAACAATGTGATATCAGATCCGAATTGTGGATAGGAAAAACAAAACTCCCACGTCTTTGGATGCGAAACAAAAAAATCAAATATTCCAAAGAGGTCCTGCAGGATTTTATCAATGAAATCACTAAAACTATGCCAACCGTGTCAGATCCAACACATTTGATGAATCCCATCTGCATGTAATGATCTATACACCAGCCAATCATAAAATATTCACCTAAAAGTTGAATCAATAAAAAAACAACACAAAATTCTACGGATCTAACAGAAATCAAGCATTTGAATCACCACCACAAAAAATTCACACAAATGCGACAGATCAAACTGTTCAAAAACCAAAATCACGCCATCGCCAACAACTCGATCCAGATCAGACACAATCAAAACGAGTTAAACAACAAATTAACAAAATATGGATGAATCGATCTTCAATCTCCAGAAAATTACACTAGGGAAAAAACACAATCAAATCTCCATTTTCATGCGATAAAACAGAAAAAATTACCTCGGCGTCACGCGATCGGTCTAGAGAGAGAGATTGAGAGAGATTCGAAGTGAAAATTAATGTATGAAAATAGAAACGAAAGCAATACAGAGAAGCAGAGAAAGCGGGCAGCTCCTTTTATAGTCCTTTCGGATCCAAATCTACCCCGGGAGCCCCTACGAATTGACAAAATTACCCTAATGCCCTTATGAGTTTTAACGAAGTCGTGTGTGTTTGGGAGTTTTATATTCTACGCGTCTTCGTGGGCGGTGCATGGTGCACCACTGTCAGGCACGTACGGTACGGGTACAGCTGTTGGCTTGTTGTACGCTGAGCTTCATGGATGGTTCGCCAACAAACTCTATGGGTGGACCGGCCGTTGGTTATTACTTGTAACGGCTTGAGAATGTCTTGTCTATTTAATTTTCATTTATTTCTTCAACATTTAAGTGGTGTGTGCGATATTAATTAGTGTTGTAATGAGGTTACTTAGTGTGCAATTAGATACGTTTTNAAAAAAAAAAAAAAAATGTTGGTTAAAAAGGAGAGTAAAAAAAAACTAATGAATTTGATAATGTAAAGTGATGTGATATAGAATGTAATATTTAACTGGGGCATTGTGAAAAATGTATTAGTAATTATTAATTGATAGTTATAAATATGTCAGTGAATAAATAGAATAAATTATAAATTAATATATATTAGTTATTGATAAGTTCAAACTCGAATATCATAAATTCAAACTTGACTCAACTTGATTCGTTTGCACCTATAATATAACATTAACATTTGAGATTTTCTATTAGTGGATAGATAAATTAAGTTGAAGATATATCCATATGCACCCTAAACTAATTAGTTTTGCACTATAAAAGAATTCATAAATTATATCCATTTTCTGGAGATTATGTTGGCCTACTTAATTACCAATTAAATTGTGTTATGCAGAAAACAATATTGTAGGGGTTTATTAATTCTTTTCATTTAATATTTCTTAATACGATGATTATTCATAATTTGAATGAGAATTTTGCTATGCATTCGTTGATGCGTATCTCCAAATAGAAGAACAAAATCATTCACAATGATGAAATCAAAACGTTATAAATATTTACATACCCTGAGAAAAATGTGTCAGATTATAATTTAGGCAAACAAAATTTAAAAGGTAATGTGATTTGTGAAACAAGTAACTCAGTGATGTTTCTGTTTTTTCTCGTCTTTGATGAGATGAGTTTGACATAATATATCAATTTAATTAGTCTCAAATTTATTAAATGTAATATGTAAGTTACAATTTGGTGAGTTTAGTGGTTAATTTCAATTAGAATATGAAGTGTAAACTTAAGTTTGAATCATTCACTTTTGTAACTCTACGACGACCATTAATGAATCATATTAAAACTTTTCTTCCTGATAAATCTATGTAAAGAATAAAATAAAAGACTAGTGATTTCGTATTTCATGTTTTTATAAGTTCTCTTAAATATTTCTAAGTGATAGAGAACATATATAATTGGATAAAGATTAAAAAGGAAAAATAAAATGAGTGTGCATTCTATTTTAAATATTTATAAAATGTTTTTAAGAGAAATATAGTATTATAATAATAAAAAAAAAAATCGAGTGTCATTGAGTGTTTTTTCTTTTCTATTNTAGTGTAATTTACGGAATTGGATTAATAAGATTGGTATTAGTAATATTGTTTTTACACAATATGACAATTATATTTTGTCAGCAAAATTTTAAATTGAATTATCGTATTTTAAAAGTAAAATAAACATTTCATAGTATATATTTTAGTTATAAAAATATAATGCGTCTACCCGTTTATTGATTACCGTTTCACTCAATAGTTTGTGAATTGGTATATTTGATATATAATTGTCAATAATCATTGTTTTGTGAATCAAATGTCCCATTGGTTGACAAATTCATATAGCTTAACTCGCACTATTAATTCACAGCTTTTTTATGAACATTAATTACTAGGGCGGAGGTGATATATTATTGTTAATCATATTGTTTTGTGAATTTATTTCGTGGATTTTTTTAGTATTAAATAGAAAGAGAAAGGCCTATATATATGTACTCTAATTAATCAATATACATCTTTAAAACTTCAAATTGTTTATGGTTATGTATGACCAGTTTTTTTAAATGCGCGAGCTTATCTCATATGGTAGCTTTAATAAGCTTTTCAAATAAGCTCATTGAAATTTTTATTTCAACTAATTTATCAGCTATTTATCAAACATTTTTATGATATAAACTAATTTTTCAAGTATATAAGTCATAACTACAAGTTATAAGCTTACGCCATGTTAATGAATTCTCCTTTATTCCATTTGTGTCACTCCAGTTCTCCAGTTTTCATTTGGCTCAAGTTATTTCATTTGGTGCTCTAAAGAAAAGAGTGTTTCCCAGGTTCTTTTGTTAGGGTGTCTCATGGTTAGACACTCACAACACCTTTGTTAGGGTGTCTCATGGTTAGACACTCACAACACCACAAAAACACTACGTAACACTGCTCCATAAATTTGCAAGGCTGAATAAAAATGCTTTCTGCTTTCACCATGCACAAGGCAACTCACCCATTACTCAGAAAACTGAATCATATCCAAACATAACTCATAATCCACAGTATATCTCGTTGAAAATGAAACCAACAGCCAAAATCAGAAACAGAAAATGAGACATTTGAAAAACCAAAAACTAGTCTGGTGAGATTTTTTTTTGACCGAAGTTCCCAACAAGCCGAAACACAAAAGCCTCTAAAATAAATACTTTTAACCTATGGTGCAACCACAACAATTCTGCCCGCCACCTGGTCCAAATCCCGTTGCCCGCTGGATGTGATCCTTCGTCCACTGTGTAACAAATGACAGTTGCTCGTTTTTAGTAAGGCGACAAAATGCTGGACAATCAAGTTTAGGGGGCTCGTGACAATTTACACATAAATCTCAAAAAGAGGCCATTACGGTTATGTTTGGTAAAGCTGATAAGCTAGCTTGTAACTTGTAAGTGAATTTCGAGCTTATAGTTGATAGCTTATGACTTATGGTTGAAAAACTAGCTTATATGATAAAAGTGTTTAAGTAAAATTAGTTAATAAGCTCGTTGAAGTAAAAGTTTCAATGGGCTTATTTGAAAAACTACACAAAGAAGCTTATGAGATAATCTCACTTTTTTATTAAACCAATCTTATTTGAATACAGGAAGCTGATAAATAATCTATAAGCTAAACATATATGCTTGCCAAACACAGCCTACGAACCATGAGTTTTTTTTTCATCGATTTGAATGCAGAATGAACNGCTAAAACTATAAATTAATACAATGCACAAAGATTCAACATATTTTCCACACTAACTATGCTGCAAATAAGAAAACCAACGATGAAGCCGAATATTATTCAACATAAATCAAGGAACTTACCCTCTCGGGTCCACCTCAACAATGCTCATCTTCTGCAACTGCTGAAGAATGTGACGAGCAACTGACCCACTGCTCTTTCCAAAATGGGGTGGTCGGCTTCCATTCCTCTTGCTTCCACCATAAATCCTTCGGAAAGCACCAACACCAAGTCCTCCCCTCAGGTAGATTTTACGAGCCATGGAAGCTACAAAACAACCCACAAAAAAGAATAAAAATGTATTCTTGAACGCAACATACATAGGAATTAACATTTTAATAACACAGCTGAACATAAAAAAAGAATAATGAGTAAAAGTGCATTACCAGCCCTGATATAGTACCAATCAGGATCATATGGTGCAAGCTCTTTCAGGACACCGGTTTTCACCAAATCAGTCCACTCGGGAAGCTCCATCTATTGATTGTGTAAAATAGAAAATGTAAATGGATTATGTAGCTGAGGGGAATATACCTATTACCTCCTTTCTAAGAGCAAAACTGTGGTGGGGTAAGAATAATACAAACCAAATAAAGATCATCAACAGGGAAGAAAAAATTTTCTTAATTACGATAACTAAACTTGAACAAGAAGATAACTATAAATCTTAGCTTTCAATTATCCATTTATTAATAATCTTCATGTGATAAGTAGCTCCACAATTTCAGTCTTCAGCTAAATCATTACACCATCAGCTAAAAAATCCACTGACTCCTAACAACCAAATTATTAAGTTCGACTGATTAAAACTAATACTATAACATCCAAAAGCAAAGTCATGAGTCGAACAACAGAGAAACTAATAGCACAAACAACCAACTTTCTTTGCTTGTTATGGCACTGTATTTGTATTTGCAAAAGACAACTACAAAACTTAAATCTGATTATAATAGAGAAATTGACCTACGATAACACAGTAGCACAAATAGGAAAAGCATTTTCACCTTGCCGGAGCGCTTGAGGTGGGCGGCGTAGGATTTCACGAACTCGTGAGGGGAGACATCTTTGACAGTTTTCGCGGTCGCCATTGCTGAAGCTCAGGCAGCTCACTTTACCACCTCTTGAGAAATGCGAGATGCAGCAGACGCTAGGGTTTGGGGGATTAGGGTTATATGCGCTTATATATAACCTTTATCCGTCGGCCTGCATAGAATGTGGCCCGCTTTGAGTGTTTGGGCCTTGCTTTGTGGACTTTATTGCTTTCGGGCATTATAATGGGTTATATACTGAAAGTTGGGTTAAGACTTTATTAAAATAGTAACTATTTATGTTGAGTCATCAACTAGACATAGTCCCCTTTTGTTTGCATTGTGTGTAACTGTTTATAATAAAAGTTAGAATTATATACGTCACTAGGCATTCTCTCAAAATTGGCCGAAGATTACCTATAATGCTAAGTTTGCTTAGTTTTCATATTAATTACCTTAGTTTTCCGAAAAATTAACTCGTCAAACATCAATTATAGGGGATATTGTTGAAAGGCTATGTTCCTTCGTCAAAAAACAACATTTTTTGCTCTACAGTCTTTCTGAACAATAGCTTAAAAACATTAATTTTTTTTTATCTTGAATTTCACATTATGGTAATTCTTTTCCACCAACAACCCTTTGCAGCCATTTCCTCACATCATTCAAACCATCAACCACAGATTAAACTGGTTTCTAGCATCATCAAATCATCAACCCCAAACTCAATGAGGTAACTTGGCAATTCTTGGGGGATAGAAGTATGGTGAAGATGAGGTTTTCGATTTTGCAGAAATTTAGCCAAGAGAATCAAAGCTCCAAAACATGGATGTTCATCTGGAAAGCTGGAAAATAAAACAGTCGGTCTGACTGTATTGGCCAATCCTGAATATATAGTGCGGGATATAATCACATCAGAATTCAAAAAGAGCCGAAGAAAAATAAATATAGGACTCAGCCAGCAAGCTGTCCTTTTAGGACCGTTAGCCTACAATGGCAGGCCGTGGAGTGACGGATTCTCAGCCCGTGTAAAAACGAGCAAGGCCCACTTCCAAAGTAATAAAAAGGTTGCTAGTAGACCAGGGGAGATAAAAAAAAAAATGTTTCAAAAAAAATTAATGTATTCAAGTAAATAAAATCTGGTACAACTAAAAAAACAAAAATCATATGTTGAATTAATTGAAACAGATTTACATGCAAACGAAACATGCAATATCAACATAATGTACACGACACTAGCAACAACATTTCCAAAAAGGGTTGTTGGGTTCCTCCCTTCAACAAAAAATTTTCCCATCTCCCAATAAACATCCTAAAATCACTTCGCTGCAGTCCGACAACAATATTCCTAGATTCTGAAGGTTCTCTACCAGGCATTAGCTTTTGGCAATGAACAAAATGGGAACACAATTAACAAGTGATGAGATGACTAATTAAATCAACCTCTCTTAGCATCAAATCCCACATTGAATCTCATCCGAATTTTTTGTTTCTGCTAGAGCTTTGCTTTCTCTTCCCTTTTCCTATGAAACTGTACATATGTTAGCTTTTTTCTTTACCGGTAAGTATTTACAAACTACTGCCGCTGCCTGGTTCGAGTGTTGTAGCTTTTCCGCTCGCTTTTATTTAACCTACTTGCACTATATGCCCAATCCTCATCGTCTGAATATTCATCTCCTAAATCTAGTGCTCGACTAGCTTTGGCACTTTTCCTGGCACTGGAAGGCGGTCGTTTTCGTTTGATATTTGCTGTGTAAGTTGAATAGTCGACCGTATCCTCCTTCAATGCATTCTTAAAGTCCTGAAACAGAACGGACTAGGGTTAATTTTGAAAAAGTTGGTATGATTAGTTTTTAGTGGGATTTTGAGTTTATATCAAAATAATACTTAAAACAAAATAATTAAAGTTGATTTGATGTAAAATTATGAGAGAAATGATGTGAAGTGATAGTTGGTTAAAATTATGCAAGTGGATGAATGGTGAATTAAAGTTGATGTGATGTGTAAGAATGGTCGTTTGATATTATTTAATTATATTGATAATCTTGAGGATAGTGGGGTTGGTTAAAGTTGAATTAGATTTTAAGTATGGATTGAAATATTTTATAAACAAACACGCCCTTACAGTAAATGGCAAACCATGTCGATAGCAGTTAATACGAAAAAACCACATTTATGAGACAGATAATTGTCAAAGATGAGCACGTGAATCACCTGATAGCTCCTTAAGAGGTCCTCATAAGTGCTGGGCGGGTCGATGTTCACATCACTAATATTGAGAGAAATATTTTGCCGTGATAGACTCTCACCTGATTTAGCTGCTTCATTTGGAGAAAACAACTGTGGAGAAGAACGAAACACAAATTTAGATCATCAATTAGTAATTCATATAAGACTCAGAAAATGAGCAAGTCACCTGACAGCGGGCATCATCAAGACTGTACACAATCTTCAGGTGCCTCTTCAGCCTCAGAAGAAGCTGCAAAGCGCCTGCTGCTAGACAGTCGGCCTGTGAAAGAATTTTTTTCATTTAAAAAAAAAAAGCCTAAGCTAATTTGAGATTGAGGTACAAAATAACGAGAAAATGCGTATTTGGAACTTGATAATAAAATGCGTATGACCCAAAGGGTGCATAATATTCAGTTCTAGGCAGGGAACAAGAAAAGATCAAATTACTCATCATCTGACACGTGTCTCTGATTTCCATGATACTACCAGGTTCCCTCTTACTCCTCTCTCATCTACTCTTTCCTAATTTGCATAATATATCTCTATTGTTCCACATTTTTCTCTTTTCTTTTACGGTACCCCACAGTATAAGATCAATTTAATTTACAAGAAAANATAATTTAAAAGAAAAAAAAAAAAAAACGGAGAACAACGGAGAACATCATATGACAAACCTTCCTAGAAATATGTGGTTGAGAACAATATGTTCCAACTTGCATAGATACAAGGAAAACAATGGAGGAACAATGAGAGATCCATCTTTCAATACTTGACACTTTTCATATAGTCAAACAAAACAATGGGACTGTACCTGGATATTCTGCAAATCAATGGTCGAGATGTTATTCGGATCTCTTGGGGTCGTAGGATTCATATTTAGATCCCTATATCCATCAACCCCAAAAGATTGTCGATCATGCAACTCCCCTGGTATTCCATTATTCACATCAATTTCCATTGCTCTTTCACTGTCAGCGTTATCCGTTTGATTGGTTTGAGCCGTCCCATTCCCATCACTCCTCCCTTGTAATAAGTGCAGAAAGTCCTTCATGTTTGACTCTAAAGTCCCAGCTCTAACTTGTACAAGTCGATTTATAGTATAGATCAAATAAAGAGGCTCATCAGGTATCGTGAAAGGTAGCATGGAAAGAATCTCTGCACAATATCTGCAAAACAAGAAAATCAAATTCAGAAAATCATCTTAAATTCTTAATAATACTAGCATTTTTACCCCTTTTTCCATTTTTGTAAGGGAAGTGACAGTACTCACATAAGAAAAGGGACCACAGAATCACTCCATGTTGGTGCCTCAAACTTGTGAACAACAGAGGACATAAATCTGTTTCTTGAGACACGATTTCCACGAATGAGCTTATAGATGCGTGAAACACCAAGCCGAGCGAAATTGGAAGAGCCTCCATCGGACTTCCCCTTCATATCGTTAAATAGTTTGGTATGGCCTTTGACATTTGGAATGTCAGGAAGACCATTGTTCATGGTACGAATGAATATAAATGACATCTGAAGGCCATCTCCCAGACGGCTTTCACAGAAAGCTGGGTACCTGAAGGAATAGCAACTCTTATAGCTTGCATAATAAAATATAGAGCAAAAGGTAGTTTAATATTTATAACGTACTTCTCATTCATATTCATCAGGAGATGATGAGCCAGCTTAGAATTAACCTCATGAGGATCTGTTTCAAGGGCAATTAGATAGGGAACACAAGTGATTGGATGTACAAGACCCTGGCGCAAGACAATTTCCATGATCTGGAAGCAGGAGAAACAAATCAATAGATGTATTAGTAACATAATTTCAATTATATACCCAACTTATCCCAAGGAAACAGTTTCCTCACCAGAGCCACAATAATGGTCCGAAACTAATATGACTGAGTACTAGTTTTTGAAATCAAATAGCCAGGTTATCAATGCAATGAAAGACATGCATATTCGGTGAGTATGAAGACGAACTTCTGCTTTTAAATGACTTACTGTAGCGGAAAGAAAGAAAAGCAAATGCACACACACAGACACTAAAAGTTGAGTAAGACGAGAGTTTCTGGCAAAATTATAAAAGTTACTCATATAAGTTCTAATAGTCAAACCAAAAGCAAAACTAGAACTAAATTTTAGTTTTAAATCACAATCAGGAATTAGTATTGAATTGAAATAAATTATAAGTACTTTTTTCCTGCTAGAAGTCAAAAAATGATTTTTTCTAAGTGACTGCAAGTACTTTTTTTTGTCAAATTTGTTAGGGATAATTTGTGAACAACTTGACAGCTAAAGCAAATTGCGATAATACACCTTTAGAGCAGCTTGGCGCACATGTTCACTCGCATCCAAGCTTCTTCCTAAGATGCTAAACCAATATAACTGAACTATTCCACCACATATGTTTGTATCACCAGCACCGGCAGCTACAGGCACATTGTTACCAGACACCGAATGAGTAACCTCATTGTCACTCACTTTATCAGGCTCCATTAGACTTTCAGCGTCCAGAAGATATTCGTACATATTCTGTAATGATTGCATCTGGCAAAAGGAACAAAATTAGCACAATGCACAGAATGAATATGCAAATGACACAAAAAGGTCGTACCTTGATACGAGTATCAACATTTGCAGAAAGAGTACCCTCAATAATTTTACCGACATCCTTTTGCAACATATACTCTGGCCGAGCAATTAAAACATAGCCTAATGCCTGGAGAAATAACACAACTACGTTTTAAACTTCAAATTGTGAAATCATAAAAATGGAATAGTACACTAACTACCTGCAGTGCCCGGACTTTGATGATAAAGTCTTCAGCCTGGAGATACTTTTTAAATAAGTTGATGCTACTTCCAACATCAATATTCCTTGCGTTGGAAGTGTTTGCAACCAATAATGAACTACCATAGCGTATTAACAACCCAAGGCAGAAAAGAGACCGGCCTACTTGCTGAAAACAAAGATATTTTTCAGTACGTGTATGTCACTGAGAAAATTTTACAACAGAGAAAGAAG